AGCAAACGTAATGGTAACTGAAGAGGTGTATAAAGATTTTTCATAGGAATTATAAGTTTTTTATACTTTTTTCTACAAATATGATATTAAATTCTTAATCAAATATTACAATATGGGGTCTTTGCAATAGAAAGGTACGAAACTCAAAAAAAATTTTAATTTTACTTTATATGCTAATTATGTTTTTTTTACTAAAATAAATGCAAATTTAATATTAATTCAATTTTTGATATTAATTCAATTTTTGATATTTTTTGAGTTTCGTACCTTTCTATTGCAAAGACCTCATATATTCTTTTTAATCATAAAATTACCAATTTTGAAATAACAAATTAGAAAAATAGTTATATTATTATTCAAATTTAAATATATAATATGTTAAAATTTATATATATATTTATTTATAAATTTTACCAATTTAAATCACTTTTAACTATATAGATATATAAAAAATATTAATTTAGTTAAATTTTACTATCCATTCACTTTATTTATAATTAGTAAACATTTTGCAATTTGTTGATTTTTTATTTGATTTTTTATCTAATTCTTTATTTAATTATTCATTTTTAGATTTACTTTATAAAGGCTATTTTATAAAAGGCAATTTCTATGTACACAGAATGTTTAAATACGGATCATATTAGTAGATTAAAAATGGCATTCAAAATCTCCTTTAATATCTTAAGTAAACTTGCAGAGCAGGTGAAAATACATATATTTATCTGTAATATAATAAGAATAAAAAGTAAAAGAGTATAATGTCAGTAGCATTTAATTTCAAATTAAAAAACAAAAAATTAGTTTATTAAAAATTATATTTATATGACCTGTGTACAAACACCCTGTGTAAACTTAGAAATTTTCTTTATAAAAAATGGGTTAAAAATCAACTGATATTTTTCAATTAATAACTTTAATCTTTTCATTTTAACTGATTAAAATCTAATTGGCTAAAAAAATTTTTATTATTAAATATTAAATATTATATATAATAATTGGTATTATACAATTATCTTAGTTTATAATAATTTAATTTAAACAAACTTTTTTTAGTTAGATTTGTAAAACTAAATAAAAGTAGTAAATTAAAAAAAAATTTATTAAAATTAGATCACTGAAATTAAAATAATAATTGCATTATAATAATTATATTTTTATTTTATTTTTATTTTTATAATAAAGATAAGAACTGGAATTAAAAGCTAATATTAAAAAAATGAATTATAAAAATAATACTAAAACTAATAAATATAAGTAAATTTAACCTTTCAAATACTGAAAAAGAAATTGTCTCATTTATTATTTAATTTTAAATCTTAGATATAATAAGATATAATAAAATATACTAATATATGATAAAATTTAAACCCTTTATAATTGAAATTTAAATACCAAAAAAATCTATTATTTATAAATGCTATTAAAGTAAATATTTAAAAATAATTTCTATTATATGATAAAAGAAAAAAATTAGAAAGAAATATAAATAGTACAGTCGACTCCTTATATAGTCGCTCCTGTATAATCACATCATATAAAATTCCCCTTTATAAGTACACTATATTTTGGCCTAATATACTAATAAATATATTAGAAAAACCTCTTCTATAGTCATAACATATGACTTTTTTTATAATTACACCTTTTTTTTCAGTTCTGAGGGGTGTGACTATAAAGGGGCGGGTTGACTGTATTGTATAAACCATTAATATTTGATAAGTAGTTTTGTAATGAATATGTAATTAAAATTGAAGTTGGATCATTTTATATCCAGTTATTAAAACCAATAATGTAATATTGGTAAATCTTCTTGGTAATGCCATTTTTTATAATTATAATTACATGTGTATTTAATATAAATTTTTAGAAGATTTTATTTATTATAAAATTTTTCCTAAATGGAAAATTTTTAAGATAATAATGTTATTTTTCTATTAATTTTATTTGAATTTAAGAGATGTTAAAATATTTATTTCTTAAATAATAAGTTATCTTATTATATATATATTTAAATTTAAATGAATATGTTATTTGTTTTTTAATAACTAATTTTTTACAAAAAATAAGTATAATACAAAAATACAGTAAATATAAACTGTGCTACAAAAAGTTTATTTGATTTTTCTAAATTATTTTTATAATAAATTAAATTTATTATATAATACTTTTTTTAATATATTTTATTAAAATTATTAATTAAAATTTTATTAATATACTATTATAAAATATTTTTTTTTTTAATTGCAGCACATTTATAAATTTATTAAAATAATAAAAGTAATACATAATAAAATTATTAAACTATTTAATTAAATTAACATTATTAATTTATAAACTGCTCATCATATTATAAAATACCTTATGTATGCACTATTAAATAATTTATTATGCTAAACAGGTAAATATATATGTAATATGTTTTCTTAGCCAAAGGATTTATTGTTTTTGCAACTATTATAGAAATATTGCATTTAATCCTCTTAGAATTATAATAAAAATTTGCATTAAAAAAAAATATACATTTAAAAAAAGAAATTTTATATAATTTCTATATATTTGAAATTGAGTAAAATAATAGTGCATTTAAAGAAAAAATAAATATATCATATTTATATATTATTGTATAGGGGAGGAGCAATATCACTTATTTTAGTATAGGTCAATGTATGATTGGTTTTAATTTTGCCACGTCAGTGGCAAAATTAGTAACCAATCATACATTGACCTATAAAATAAGTGATTTTGCCCCCTGTACAATAATATTATTATCGTTTGGAACTGACCATAACATTTAAAAGCTTAAAAAAGTTTATTTAAAAGTTTAATTTTTTACTGTTTATATTGAAAAAATGATTTACAAATTATGCTTTTTTCTCTTGCTGACTCTTTAGTATTTTTATAATAATGCCACCACAAAAATCTCAAAAGTAATATTTATTTGTATTCATTCAGTTAATATTTTATTTTATTTTTTTTTTTGCATTTTATTAAAGATTTTTTTTTAGAATAAAAAAACTTTCACATATATGGCCCCTACTGAAGAAAAAATAAAAAGTATGCAAACAGCAGCTCGTGGCAAAGCTACACATAATTCTACAAGTACTTGGACTAATGCACTTGAAACTTTTCGTAAGAATATTGGATTACCTGGAAAAATAGATGATGTGAATTCTAAAGAAGAGTTAAAGCGTCAACTTGTTTTATTTTTTGTTTCATGTAAGCAGCAAAATGGAGCTGAATATTCAGTACAATCAATAAAATCAGCAAGATTTGCTATTGCACGACATATCAACACATATTCTAAAATTCGTCCACAAGAAATTACAAATAAAAATATATATTCTGAATTATATAACGCAATTACTGGCAAGATCAAACTTTTAACTGATAAGGGATTAGGTGAAATACATGGTGCAGATGCTTTTACTCAAGATGAGATTAGGAAAATTATTAATCATCCCACAATGCAACCAGATTTACCAAAAGGACTTATACGACACATATTTTGGCATAATACTTTTGAATTAACTCTTCGAGGTGGAGAGCATTATAATCTAAAGATACAACAATTTAAAAAAAGAAAGGATGGTGGTATTGAAGTTACATTTTATAGATCTAAGTGTAATTAGAGATCTTTAAGTGAATCTAATTCTAAAGCTGAAGTAATTTCAATACCTGCTGATAATGCTGTTATTCAAGATTATGAGCTTTATTTTAGTAAAAGACCACCAATTTGTGAAGATGCATTTTACTTGCAACCTTGCAACAATAATGAAGGTAATTATTTATTATGTAGTAAATTATTATTTTTTTTTACCTTTCTTTTAATTTCAAATAGTTGAGTTTACGGGTTATTGGTTCAAATCTGCTCAAATGGGAGAAAAATCGGTAAAAGGACTTATGAAAGAAATTGCAACAATAACTGAAATCGATTGTGATAAAAGAAAGTTCACAAATCATAGTGGACAAAAAACCTTTATTCAAATTTCAAAAAGTGAAGGAATTAGTGATAATGATGTGATGTCTGTGTCACGGCATAAAAATCCTCACTCTTTGGCTTATTATGAACGTCCCAAGTCTATATTGCAGCAAAATACATTATCGCAAATTAATTCTTTAATTTATAATGGTAAGAAAAGAATTGCACCTGTGGTTTTAATGTAAAAGTAATATACAATATATTTATTATTTTTCTTTTCATTAGATACATTATTGTCAAATGACAAAAACTGCAAATTCTTTTTCTTCAGCCTTAGAAATTTTCAATGGTAAGATTTAAATTATGAACTAATAATTCTTATGGTATAAAAAATTTTATTTTTTTTTTAGAATCACGGTCACCACTTCAGCAGCTCAACTCAAATGATTTAAACGAATTAAATGATGATCAACAAAATCAAGAAATTAACGGAAATGATGAGACCATTAAAAAAATTCTCCATGGGAATGTTTTTCAGAATTGTAATATTACATTTAATGTGAATAAATGATTTTTATACGAATTTTATTATATGTACACTTATAAATAGCTTATTTTAATAATATAAAGTATAAATAGCTTATATAAAGTATAAATGGTTTATTATGATATTATAAAGTATAAATAAAATATCTAAAAATATAGTATGTTATGATCATATGTACCTGAACGATAATATAAATTATAATACTCCTTTTAGTATATATAGTATCTCTCAAAAAATATTATATTTTTTATTGATATTATTATTTAAATAAGTCAACAAATATTTTAAATGTAATATTAAATACCCTAATTATTATTTTATAATAAGTTTCTATTATTAGTAAAAATTTTGTATAATAGAAGGAGGTAAAGGCCTATAGGATTAAACCTCTAAAATTTGCAAGATACCTAGAATACTGTAATATATAATATATAATATATACTTAGAAAAAATGCATTTAAAGAGATTAACTGTAATATTAATGCTAGAAGTTAAAATTTTTATATAACAGTAATATATCTTGCATATTAGCTCATATTTACATAATAATAAGGAAATTGTTTATATAACTTTAAATTATAAATTATGCTAGAAATAAATTTTGAATTTTTGATTATATGATATGGGATATTAAGTCTACTCTAATTCAATTCAATTTTTAGTTTAATATAATCCCCTTTAGTTTACAGAAAAATGGGAGAAAATAATATATATAATTAGGCTGGAATTATAAAACTTCCTATAAATCATATGACATGTATATTGCTACTTATAACTCCGGCCGAAATTATGATAATTCTGGTCATGTTTTTGTCCCTTCAGATTGTAATCTCCATTGTTATGTTAAACGACTAAGAAAGCTGTGATGAATTTGCATCACGAACTATAATACAATTATATAAATGTTTTAATATACTTTGCAACAAAAATATTATGAAAGATAATTCTTTAAACAGACTCTAAAATATCTTTAGAGTCCAATCTTTATTATTTACAATTGTAAATCCAAAATTAATTTATTATGTGGTATACTGTTAATTCGGTTTATATCGGCCAATTTACAAAGTATGGTATATTGACAAGTCTTGCATCATCAGTAATATTAGTACTATATATGTTTTTCTATAATGCAAATATAAGATTTGTTTCATCTGTTGTACTCCATAACGTGATGGCTGCAAACATTCTGAGTTGTTTAAAAGCTTGTAGGAAAAAACCAATAATTTATAATTGATGGAATAATAGGATAAAGAAATCAAAATCATTAATCGGACTTAACAAAGAAAAATTAATCTTTAAAAAGCTTTTACGAAAAGTCAAATAATTAAAATTAATTGTAATAAACAAAACAAAATTGGACCAATCAAGATTTTCATATAAATTATTATTTATAAAAATTTGTAAACGTAAACAAGTTTCATAATATTATTATACATGCGAATTATCTTGATCAAACAATGCACGCATTTAGTTTATCAGACAAGTTCGCTTGAAAGTAAGTAGACCAAATTGCGTGCAGAATATTGATATTGCAAGAGATGCTAGCTTTTATTGCAGTTTAAAGTTTCAGTAAATTCCAAACCAATCATACTAATTTCAAAGTGCACTACATATTTAGTGTTATTTCATGCAATTAATTGTTTTACTATAGATCTCATCAAGTTAATATTATTGGTTTCTATTACAAATGATAATATAATATATGATTAAAATTCTAATGAATTGTATAAATTTATTCGTAAATAATTATAAATATCAAAAGATTGTTGTAAAGGCGTAAATAAGTAATGTTTTGCTGCGGGTATTACTGCGGCACATATTCTGATATTCATTGATACGGCACTTCTTGAGTAATGAAACAAAAGTTGTGTTTCAGTCGATTCGATTTGTAATTTACATATATATTCAAACATTTTGTAACGATTAACAAACTCCTGCATAACAAATCGAGAAAAATACTTATTTGTTCATTCTTTTATTTATTATAATGAAGGAAATACTAAAAAGATTTATAATAAATAATACGACGAGTAAAAAGGTAAAGAATATTCATAGACAAGTCATTGGCTAGAAAAGTTACACAAACTATAGACGGAATATAGGATTCTCTTAATCACTGAAAATATCAAACAAAAAGTCGGTAATTTTTGGCAAATTTATAAAAACTTAACATTGTCAATATAAAATTCTTTGTTATTTGTTATTGTATCCACTCCGTTTTAATTGATTTACAAATTTTTAATGTTGTACTCACTTATATTGTGCACATTAACGTTTTACTTATTTTGTCGAAACACAATTTCAAAATAAATTAACATATATTAAGGGTTGCAAAAAAAAGTTTTTTCCTTCAAATAAAATTTTCTTATCTAAAAAAAATTAATTTTTGAAAATGCAATCTATTAAATGTGTTGTAGTAGGCGACGGGTAAGCTCTCTCTTTTTTTCGTAATTAGAAAAAAATAAAATAAAATAAAATAATAAAATAAAAAAAATTAATCAGAGTAAAAAAAAAAAAGAGAATATAAATTCTAAATCAATAGTATGTAATTAGATATAAGAGCTAATATATAATTTTTAAATTAAGTTTATAAATGGGCGAGAATGGAAAACACTATTTTAACAAAGTCAATTATTGTTCTTCAAACATTCCAAAGAATGAAAATCACATTTTAGTCTCTTAAATTAATCAACTTTTAAACTTTGATTTAGTGCTGTCGGTAAGACGTGTCTTCTTATAAGTTATACTACAAATGCCTTTCCTGGAGAATACATTCCAACTGTGTAAGTATTTCTGTTTAATCTTTAATTTTTCTTCCAGGAATTCTCTTGAACTAAACAAATAATATATTTATATATTGTGCAAATAATTAGATTTGACAATTATTCAGCCAACATTATGGTCGATGGAAAACCAATTAATTTAGGACTTTGGGACACAGCAGGACAGGAAGATTATGATAGATTGCGTCCACTTTCATATCCACAGACTGATGTATTTTTGATATGCTTTTCGTTAGTTAGTCCACCTTCCTTGGAAAATGTTAAAAATAAGGTAAGGAGCCTATGATAAGATCTGCAATTTTTCTGTACTTCAAAAACTTTTTTATTTAAAAAATCTCTCCGATATAATTTTATAGTGGTATCCAGAAATTTCTCATCATGCTCCAAATACTCCAATTATTTTGGTTGGAACAAAATTGGATCTTCGTGAAGATAAGGATACAATTGTAAAATTACGTATGAAATCTCAATCACCAATTACATACCCTGAAGGATTACAAATGGCTAAAGAAATTGGAGCCGTACGTTATCTTGAATGTTCGGCTTTAACACAGAAAGGACTAAAAAATGTCTTTGATGAAGCTATCCGTGCTGTTCTTTCTCCTAATCCTATCAAAAAGAAGAAATCAAAATGTGAGTATAAAGTGATCTTGAAGGGTTCTCCTCCTTTGAAAGGGTATATATGTACTAAAAAAATTTCCATTATTCATTTGCAGGTGTTGTTATGTAAGACTGTAAAACGGGGGTGTAATATATTTATTACAAATGTTGTAAATTATACAATCAAATAGATAAAAAAGATCAATTGAGGTTTTTTATTTAATTAATTCAATTAATTAATATATATGTTTTCGTATTTAATTTCTTATTATATTAACTGTTTTTTGTAAAAAAAATTTATATTTATATGTAATTTTTTATATCTTAGATATATTAAAAAATAATATTAACGTAAATTAATAGGTCTTTAAAATTATCAAATTATCAGCTTCATAAAATGCCTTATTTCCAATTATTAGAGAAACAAGACTAACCGTTTAAACAATCTTTATTAGGGCGTTCGGTGATTTGGCACAAATATGGCTGGATTATCATGTCATCATCCATTGATCCATTGGATGATCTTCATTTTAATTTATTCACAATCATGATCCAATTTAAAATCGCCAAGTTTCAAATAAATCGCATGAACAATTTTGTGTCTTTCCAAATAGAAATCGAAAGTAACATTGTTTGTGCAACATTCTAATAATAGAAATGAGTGTAAACTACATAGCCTGTGTACGAATTATCCATTAATTCATCAAAGATGTGCGTGACAAGGATGTTAAATACTTTGCTAAGAATTCTTTTATAAAGGTACATTAAAGATCATAATCTCGTTCAAGTACAAGTCTTACTGATCCTAGCTAATATGCGCCAGAATTAAGGTGTCATATAAAATAACATCTTCGAGATGGATGTAGATTTAGTATAGACTATAGAGTGAGTTTGCTATTCAAAAGTAGTGATGTTAATAATTTAACAGGTTTGGGTTATTTAACATATGTGTAATGCTTTTGTATTTACCTAGACCTGAGAATTCTTGAATTACATTGTTCTCACTCAACAGTATTGCTAGAAATGGCCCAATTTAATGGAACTGAGATTTCTTACTATAGCAAAAGCAAGTTTAGATTAATAATCTCAATCTTTTTTCCTAGTGAAATTCACCCAAATAACATTAACCTGACTTTTAATTAGATGTAAGTTAAAAAAATACCAACTTACAAAAAAAGAAATATATAAAGTGCTATAGTTCAGGTATATAATTTTTTCAAGATGAAATATAAAATAAAAAAATTTATTAAGATTTATTATATTATAATTTAATTGATATTGATATTATCTAATAATATAAAGTCTAAAACTGTAGAAAATAAATATTTCAAAGTTTTCCTTTTACATTTAGCTGTTTTATAAACTGTAAAATGACAATATTATTAAATAAATAAAATATTTAATTATTAAAAAATATGTTTTTTTTTCAGATTATATTAATGTACTTTTTCAAACTTTTTAAATTGTAAATACTAATAAAAAAACTTCCAAAATTAAACATTTCTTAAACTTTTTGTTCAAATCCTTGCAAAAAAAAATGGATGCTTAATTAAAAATATAGTTTTAAAAAGTTTAGCTAATAAATAAGAAATAATATACCAAAAGAAAAACATTATTAATTATTTAGTTAAAACTCAAGATTTGATTTATATTTTAATTTAATATTAAAAATAGTACCATTTTGGCTAAAAACAACATGTTCTAAATGATGCCTATTTATTGATTCAAATTGATTACTTAATAGTGTATATATGGAATACAAATAAATATAACAAGTGGTTTGTATTTTAATTTTTCTTTTATTAATGAAAGTTACAAAATGTATAAAATATAAAATGCTTCTAATTAAACTACAAAAACTACTTATCATTCCATTTTAAAATCTTACATATATCATATATTACAGGTCACTGTACTCTGGATATCTTGCAAATTTTAAAGGTTTAGCCCTATACCTATTATTATGTGAATTTTTACTATTAATAAAAGATGTTTAAACTTATAAAATAATTAGGGTATTATTATACATTACACCTAAAATATTTGCTGGATTATTTAAATAATAAAATCTTCTTTTTTAAAGAGTATTATATATAAAAAGAATATTATAGCACGTAATATATATATAATATATAATCATGCAATTATAAAATTATACAGGTATGATGAATTTGAAAAAAGCTTTTTTTAACCCTTTAAACCTTTACTATTATCCATATTACTATTATAATAATATTAAAAATAAAAAGTAATATAAAAAGTCTGGGTCCCGTGATCACTAGACATTGAAGATAGGGCCTTTATAGCTAAGATGACCCGTTACTAAACGAAGTCTACCTACAGAGTCAAACGATCACTCGACAGTGCACACGTGGGGTACTACCGGTATGACGAGTGGTTTGTAGTTTAATTATATTAGAGTAGTTATTAGGAAATTTTACTTTGTATATATTTTTTTATTTTTTTACTTTAATAAAACTGCAAATGNATTATTATTATAGGATTACATGGTTTGGCCAATTTTCCTCAATGAATGATGTATATACTATTTAATCGAATGGCGTTTATTATTATATATAATAAAAAAAAAAAAAAAAAAAAATATAAAAAGTCTTTATCAGCAAAATGGTAAGTAGATTTTATCAAGTTATATTCAAATTGTGAAAGCTATTTAGATCTTTTAACTATTTATTACAGTCCTATATTATAACAACTGAGATTATTTTATATTAATCTATGTCATATTTATATACTTATATATATCATAATAAGATAAATATATTATTTTATTTTAATAAAATATTTATCATTGATTTAATTTTAATATATATTTTCATAAGTTTTTATTGTAAAATATAAGCTTATTTATAACTTTTTTATTTTAATATTTTTTTTAATAAGTTTATATGCTATTTATTCAATTAATATTTTAACTGATATTTCTTTTTTCTATTTATTTACTAAGATTAAAATAAATATATTTTTCATACATTGTAGCTTATTTAATTAGATTATAATTTTCAATATATATATATAAATTTATTAGAGTAATGTTAGTAATTATACAAAAGTAAAAAAACTATATAACTATATTAATATTATTAATTTGTAACTATTCATTATTTTTCTATAGAACTCCTACATATATACTATCAAATGGTTATGATTAATCAGATAGGCAATATATAAAATGCATTATCTTAATATGTAGTCCTGATGATTTTACAAGATTCATTGCACTATTATAATTTTCAATATGATAATATTAATAAGTATTTGCTTTTTAAACATATTAACAATTCATCAAAATGTAAAGCATATTTTGTTTGTATTTTAGAATTTTTTTTCAACTGATGAATTAAAAGTATATCTAAAATTTTTTTTCATTAGAAATACCATTATTTCTCACTATATTTCAAATTTATATTTTAGCTTTTTTTTTTGTAATTTTTATAAGTTTGCTAAATAATTGTTGTATAGAAATTTTCAAAACTATAATTATAGTATTTAAAAATCAAATTGAAATATTATATTTTTTGAACTTTTTAAGAAAAATTGATATTATATAATATATAGTCTAATAAATTATATAAATAGTTATACATATAAATTTTCTATGCATTTTATATAAAATTAAATCTAATTTCTCAGAAAATTTTAGGTGTATTTATATTATATTATATTAATATACAGTCAGACCTCTATGTACCGATACTGTTGTTTTAGGGAAAATATATCAGTATATCAAATTATCATTACATAACTGTCATCAGTGAATCATAATGCGGGTCAAAATCCAATTCTTGCCAGTATTATATAAACTCCGGATAGCTAATATATTAAAATGTCATGTGATTTGGATGGAACCTTTATGTTAACTCTGGCCAAATTCATAGTGTTGACCTGAATTAATACCAGTATAACATAAAGTATCAGTACATCTTACTATATATTAATTATAAAGAGGCAAAGAAAAGTATCGGTACATGTTACATTGTAAAACCATATATAATATCGGTACAACGAGATTTTTTTATTAATTGTAAAACAGGGTATAGAAAATTTATCAGTACAGGCAATTATCAGTACATAGGATATCGGTACATAGAGGTCTGACTGTAATAGGCTTTAATAGTAAGGGGTATACCAGAAATTATGTAATATGCTCATTAGAGACCTGGCCCTCTTATCTTCCATATGATTGAATTCAATTAACTAAAAAAATATATATATAAATATATAATCTATTATTTATATATATATTATAATACAATTAGTTGCTATTTAATAATCCAACTTTTTTTTTGTTTTGTAGGCCTATTTATGCTTTATAAAAAAAAAAAAAAATTAATTGAAATTGAACTGTTAGATGGTGAAATAACTGCAAAAACGCTTCTTAATAAATAAATTACTATATATTATTATATATATATTATAATACAATTATTTTACTATTCAATAATCCAATTTGCATAAACTTTTTTTTTGTTTTGTAGCCCGCTTTATACTTTATAAAACAAAAAAAGATTCATTGAAATTGAACTGTTAGATGGTAAATTAATTGCAATTACTATATATTAATACATATATATTACAATTAAAGTTGCCTGCCGAAACTCTACAGACTATTGTTGAAATGTTGAAACTAAAACCTGTTGAAATGCCGAAATGCCGAAATAGCTTCGACATGTCAAAATTGTTAAAACTTAAAAACATTATGTTTCACATAATAACTCGGTATTCAATAGTCGTAGAAAGATGCACCATAGCTCGTTGGAATCGTCTCATAACGATGAGTCAAATGGTAGTTAGATCGTCTTTCTACAATCACTAGATGCCGTGATATTGAGCGAAACATCAAAAATTGGCATTTTGTATTTTGTGATACTGCGTCAATGGTCATAGAAAGATGCACCATAGCTCGTTAGAATCGTCTCATAATAACGAGTCGAATGATAGTTAAATCGTTTTTCTACAATCATTGAATGCCAAGTTATTGAGCGAAACATCAAAATCAGCATTTTGTATACATGCTGCCCAAATTATTTTGGGATGCCATAATTATAATTTGGGATGCCTTAATTCATTCAGTTTATATATAATTTACTATGTAAAGTGCTAAAATAATTTGGGATGTCATAATTGAATTTGGGATTTTACTTATAATTATGGCAGTCCAAAATAATTTAAGTGGCATGTATAGCATTTTGTATTTTGTGATACTTGCGCCATTTGACATTTCGCCTATTATCTCGGCATCCAGTGATCATAAAAAGATGATTTAACCACTATTTGACTCGTTGTTATGAGACGATTCCAACGAGCTATGGTGCATCTTTCTACGATCATTGGATGCCAAGTTATTAAGTGAAATGTCAAATAGTGCAATATCACAAAATATAAAATGCCAGTTTTTGACGTTTTGCTCAATATCTTGGCATCTAGTAATAGTAGAAAGATGATCTAACCAGTAACCACCATTTGACTCGTCATTATGAGATGATTCCAACAAGCTATGGTACATCTTTCTACGATCATTGGATGCCAAGTTATTATGTGAAATGTAATATTTTTAGGGTTTGACAATTTTGACATGTCGAAACTATTTCAGCATTTTGACAAATTAGAGAGCCAATGTCGAAATGTCAAAATAGTTTTGACAATTTCGACATACCAAAACTCCCTAATTTCGGCAGGCAACTTTAATTACAATACAATTATTTTGCTATTTTAATAATTTGATTTACATAAACTTTTTTTTGTTTTGTAGCCCTCTTTATACTTTATAAAACAAAAAAAAATTCATTGAAATTGGACTTTTAATGGTAAAATAATTGTAAAAAAAACTTTTTAATAAAAAATTATATAATATTTACTATAAAAATTTATTATTATAAAAGGTATATTATGATATCTGACTAGTCCTAATAGATCTTACTGTGTGATAAAGTGATATGGCTATATTATTATAATAGGTACTGTAATATATATATGTCCAATCATATAAAAATATTTCAAAATTTTTTATGTACATATTACATATCCTTTTTAAAAAAGATATGTGCAAAATTCTAATTATATGTGTTACATATGTACTGCATAGTGAAAAATAAACACCAAGTTATTCTAAATTTAACTACTTAAGGTAAAGTTTATACAATAGTGAAATTTGATAAACCAGATCTATCAGTTCCACTAAAAATATCTGGTTTATTATGATATCCAGTATAGTGAAACAATTTTGATATATTGAAAATCCATTATACTGAATTTTTAAAAAATTTTCATACTAATAAAACTAATATACACTATAATTTAATTTTTTTATCTAGTTTTAAGTCATAGAGCCATAGAGGTCATAAAAATGATTTTTAATTAAATATATAAGTAATATATAATTTCAGTCAGAATTAAGATTTTTATAATTTTGGCCAAAATTAAGATTTACCACATTATATTACTCAAATTTTATTGGTTAATAATCATGGGATTCAGTTTATTAAATCATTTTTACTATAGCTGGTTTGAAAATTGATCCATTATAGCGAATATTGAGCTTTTACTAGTAAACTCTGGTATATCGAAACTATTTTAATATATGTGATTTAGTTTTAGCAAAAAAGTCTAGTTTAGGCTTAAATCTGATTTATCAAAGATCCAATTTATCAAATTTTACTGTGTATATAAAATTATATAAAATTTATTAAAAATCCTACTATAAAAGGAAATTTTATATTACATTATTATGATTTTTTTTTCTTTTGTCTAATTAACTAATAGAATTTAAGCAAATTTTAAGGTAAGATTTCATATAAAAGTTAAAATTTTCTATAGTAATATTTATTAGTAATAGATAGAATTCTCTTGAACTCCCATCTACTAAATTATGTAATTTTTAGCATGACTTTATTTATATTTATAAATTATTTAATATATAACTATTTTACTTTTTTTATTAGATTAACAGTTAACAATTTTTTCATTTACATCTTAATAATATTTTTTTGCAGTTATATGATTATTGGTATATATTATATTACTTCTGGTTGCAAGTTAATTTACTTATTTTAACTGTAAGTACTTGATATTTATACATCTATAATCTTATTTTAAGTTTTTTATTAATGTAATCCATTTTTTAATAAAATAAAATGCAAAGAATTAAAAATATAAATAAAATATTATAATATTATACAATAATAATAATAACAGTATAAAATAAAAGAATGTCAAATTAACAAATCAATTCTTATAAGACAAGTAATTCTAATTTGCATTAAATATTAAATGAGCAGTTTATTATTAAAGCTAGCAGTCTCAACTTATATTTAGTATCAAATGAACAGTTTATAACTGCTTAAATCAATTATTTAATCTATTCAAAATTTATTAAATATACTATACTTTTCAGTTATTAAGAATTTCTTGAATTCTTCTTTTTTATATCACTTTTTAAAGAATTTTTTAATGTAGTTAAAAATTTGCTTATTATCCTTTTATTTCATTTTTGAATAGTAATATTTTATTTAATTTCATTTATTTGGTAAAAATTCATAATGAATATTTTGAAAGAAATTTTATTATGATATTATTATTAATTAAGTGTTAATTATTATATAATATTAATTAAATAATAAATTAATATATATTACAATTTTATTAATACTATGATGCTAGTATAGATTTCAATATCATATGATTATTATCAATAGTAATGATTTTTTGCAAAAAAAAAAAATAATACAGATGTTGTTTATTAATAATTTTTTAAATACATATCAGATTAAAAAATGCTAGAAAAGTAAGTAAAAATATATAATATTATATATATCAAAGAGAAAGGGAGTATATAAATTTTAGGCTATTTAATATAAGATTTTTTATTGATAAGTAAACATAAAATTTATATTTGAAAATATATACTGTATATGTACATATATTTAAAAAATTTAAAGTAAAATCTTTATTATATTTTTTTTTATAAAGTAATACATGAAAAAGGATTAGCCAGCTAAAAAAAAATGAAAGTAAAAATGATAGAGTAGCAAGCTATTTTAAGGAAAAAAAGAAAGGTATAAAACTAATAAAAGAATATGTCTGCTTATTAAGCCTGCCAAATCCTAACCCATGTAATGGAATTGAGATAAAGTTTAGTAGAGATGTTGAATGGAGTATAGTGCTGCAATTACAATAGGACCGGGAAAACTACTAATAAAGGTCACCGGTTTTCTTGGTTCGAACCCATATTTAATTTTCAAAAAGGTCACCGTAAAAATAATTAATAAAAGTCACGTGTTGGTTCGCAAGAATAAGAAAATTTGAGTGAAGATCTTTCCTTTTTCTGTTTTTGGAGCGGAAACATGTGAATAAATAGCCAATTGACCAATCATAAGATGGTTCGCATTCATATGATTTTCTGATTTTTTTCCGGTGACCTTTATATATAGTTTTCCCGGTCCTATTACAATCCAATTATAATTATAATTTTTTTTTTATTATGTTATCATATATCTTAAAATTTTTTGATTTTTGCAGTAAGTTTATTATTAAGCTTATTTAAGCTTAATATTAATTTTGCCAAATTTTGCAGTGAAAGAATTTATTGACAATTTTAGTGTTATATGCAGAAAGTTTATTTGTGATTTTAGTATTAATTTCATTCTTAATTTTGCCAATCTTCATATTAATAAATATTATTATATGCAAAAAGTTTATCAGAATTTTTTTGCTTGAAAAAGGCTACATAATAATGATCTCTATGAATATCTAAAATAATAGTAAAAAAACAAAAGGTAAGGTTAAAAATGGCATGCTTTCCAAAGAGTTGAATGATATTAAACTGAACATATTTAGATAAAGCAATGCATAGTAAATTTATTGAGAAGTGAGCTTATTGGTAAATCAAATCAGAATTTTTTTAGATAATAGTGCCTGATTTTTTTAACAATATCAATTATCTTGCATAAATGCGCTAGGATAAAGGATTATTTTATACTTTGTTACTACTACATATGGAAATGAGAATTTAACCCAATTTAATTAGATGAAATAAAAACTAACAGCCTGGATCCTGTCTAATAATAACAAATGAATTTGAGGCTCGATACCATAATTTAATACTAACGGTAATGGAGAAATATCGTATCTCAAAATTTACCATTTATTTCTAAGATCTCTTACAAAACAGAAAACCACATGGAGGTGAAAAATCATGCGTCTTTGTTTGGTTTCCCAATATCTCAAATAGGAAGTTCGTTATATAGAATGAATATTATAATTTCAATTGTAATCACAAAAAAGGAATAAAAATTGAAATATTTGATTAAGATCTGTAAAAATAGAGATGATAAATCGCCCATGCTGGATTACGTACTGCTAATTCCTATAACTTTATCCCAAAAACGAATTAATGTGTGATTAGCCTATACACGTAATTTGAATGCGCTAACACAAGTAGGACAATAAAAATTTGCCGTTTATCTGAGGATCTGTAAATCCTAGATTCTAATCGCTCAATTTCCTTTTTCCTTTTTGATTCTTCTTAACGACGCCCTATCTTACGATCCGCAAAATCAGGGATATGTTGATTCAAACTGCGATGAGTGAAATAAAACATACTAGAACTTTCAGGAAAGTGTATGACGAAAAACAATGCAAAAATAATTCTCTTGGCCGGGGTTATTAATAGATTAATCCCCTGTCGCACTAGGTGTCACTCATGATCACCTTCATACTAAATTGCGAGTGATTAGCTGAGTTTCCCATGAAATAAATGGGTATCCCCTGGAGCGTGTCATTCATTAAATATTAACTATTTTAACTATTTTAATCTAAAATTAGTAATTTCCCGGCTATCTATATTCTATATGAGGCCGGGAAATAACTAAACGAAGATTCCCGGTCATTTATAAGGGGAACATTAGGGGTTTTTTCCCTTCGGGAAAAAACCCCTATTATTCCCAACTCCCCATGAAATAAGAATTTACTAATAGATCCTCCGGTTATACACAATCACATGATACAGTGGTGTCCCAGCGAGCGCAGCAACGACTCACAGTCATGTGAGCAGGGTTAGAAGATAACAAAATTGGAATCTTTGGTAACCACACAGACAGATACGATCAATGACGAAGAATAAAGATACAATTAGGAATTTAGAATATGAGATAACCACCAAGGAACGAACAATAAAGGAACACGAAGAAAAATTACGGCAAATTTAGAAAATCGGATTCGGGGTTAGAAGTTGATGTAACGGTTAAAGAACGAATAAAATTAGAGAAAGAAGAAGTTAGAATTCTTCGGAAAAGTCAAGGATCTAGGGAAGAAAAAGGAACAAGACACGAGTTTATCTCACAAAAATGTCAACGAGCGGTATATAAGCCATACGCACACGTGATGTAGATTCGAAAAAAAAAGAAACGCAGTGCGAAGTAATTATTTGCTTTATTACATATTTACACCTTAACATACTGTACATCTGTCAAATCAATGTATATTACCATTTCATTTCGCACTTCACATGAAATTATGAGGTGAAGATAAAAGATGGTTAATATGCAACAAAATATGATTAGAAAAAGATAATTTGTAATCAATTAGGAGTTCTTTTAAGATTGAGATCGGACTATACTTGATAGTTGTTCGTCTATACTTTCCACGCATATTCTCCAAATGTAATTCTTGGATGAGTGTTTCTGTTGTTTCGTTTCAACCAACTTAAACATTGCGTGATCCTCGATATCCACAACCTTAGAAGGATCACAGTTCGATTCAAAATACCTTTGGAGATATTTATGAGCTGGTTCTGGGGACCAATGGACGCGATCGGAAAAATCTTGTGATATTTGGTTAATTTCGCTCTGGGTGAACTCTGTGCACCCATGGAAACTCTCTTGTGTTAAATCGAAAATGCTCCAATAACCAAATCTATTATATATCAAGCAAAATTTAAAAACAAGTTAAAGCTTAGCAAATATTTAGAGCGTAATAAAACTAATATCATAATATCAAAACTTACGTTATAATTTTGCGTGTCTTGGAAATCTTGTTTGATATCTCGCAAACTTCTCTGAGATGCTTTGCCAAAAAATTATATTGCTTTGAAACCTATTAATATCATTGAATCAGTGCGCTAAAAATTAATTATAGATCTCAACTATAATAAGAAAGCTTACATCAACTTTCCTAAACTCGATTCACCAATGGATTCAACCAAATCATTTTCGTATGACTCATCAAATAAGACAGCGTTTCTTCTATTGATTCTTCCAATTAAGTCTTCCCACTCGCTCTTCTTCTTTTCTGTTCATTGTCCACTTCTTGTTTCATTTTTGATAGGTTCGCCTTATCATTATTCTGTGACTTCCTTTTTTTGCTTGTTCGTCCTCGTAACCACTCTGATACTTTTTGTGATGAATATATATTTCTCTCCATATGTTGGACTCTTTCGGCAGATCAATCATGGACAACTCTTTATGATTGACGAGCCTTCAAAAGTATCGACGTTTGATAGTTCTTCGCAAAATGAACGTACACTGACCGGGATTTTTTTATGTTTTGATAATTTCGAGCGAACTTTCCCAATCATTATAAACAGTGAGTCAAAGGTGGGATTACATTTTCGTTTCTAAACGAAAGTTGAGGTAATGTTTTAGTTTCCAATTCACTGCTTCAACTTTCTTAAAGTAATCTGCAACATTTAATTCTTAGGCGCTAAGTAGCTCGAATAAATATTCGATCTCAACGTAGCAGTCATCTATTCTAACGTTTGTTATAAAATTTATTTTTTGTGAAGTTTTGTTATAAAACTTATTTTTATTTATTTTATTTATTTTATTTCTAGAAGAGTAGTTATCGGTATCTATAACATTAATAGTATATATACATAAAGGAATACAGGGACTATTCAGGTTATTAGAATTGCGAATTTAATCCCACAAAGTAGACTAAGCAGTTATGCAAGACCTCACCCTTCGAACTAAACTATACTGGTAGGAAAACTACGCTACTACCAGCATTGTTATAAAACTTATAAAATTTTGTTTCAGATTATCTTTATATACGTCTCGGTCACGTGATTGTACGTAACTTTCCACCGATTAACACAAAAATTTAAATTTTACAGTACTATTTTAAACCCTGCGAGCGGTCAGTCTACTGCAAGAAATGTGTGGTTCTCGTGTCAGCCGATCTGTGGCGGCAATATATTCCCTTATATCCTTGAATACTTAGGAGAAACCGTACTTTATGTTGGCCACTCAGCGGCGGCGAAGTTATGAATCAGTGAATATCCGTTATCTCTTGGTAGCAGTCAGCTGATACGCCATTTCTGGAATTATATTCTGATTTATTAGTCTGTATGAGTGGGAGTGATATAGATAGACGAAAATTAAGTGGTGTAATTTATTTCGGAATTCTATTGTAGAGAAGTAATAGATGTAGAAATAAATTATCTGTAGAAATTATTCTGAGAGCAAAGAAATAACTTGATGCTGGGACTCGCATTAAATGGCCTAGAATCTGCATACTCTATCATACATTTCATTCGCTTATCTAACATTTTATATATCTGAAAAATTATTATTTCAATAAGTCATACCTTGACTCCTTGAGAAGCTAGATCCAACAGGGTTGCACACATATTTATTACATAAGTTTAGTTTTTTTTTAATTAGTTTATGACTAATTTTTAAAAAATATGTAATAGATTATTCCAACCTGAGATGAAATATTTCGAATCTATAAGAAGAATTCTTGAGATTAGCAGTGAGATAAAAGAAAATAAAACAAGACTTCCGATTCACACTTACCACCATAATTCCGTCATTTTCATTTTCATAATACCAGTATGATACTGCGCCAAACATCAAGAATTCAGCATGTGATAATTTTATTGTCAATATACTGCGCACTTATCTCAACATGTGACGAAAATCTGGTGACAGAAAAAACTACACTAGATGTCCGCTTTATCTTTAAGTATCTATAGAATTGGAAAAAAATGATTTGATTTTCTAGAATCAAGCCAAAATCAAATAAACTAACTTTGTTATTACTTTGCAGAATATATTCATTTGATTGATTGTTGATATTGGTTGATGTAATTGTGATAAGTTTAATATTTCTTTGGTTTCTTTTTGCTTTACTTGCACAAAACAGATAAAAGAATTCACTCTCACCTTTTTATATGATTTGTAGTACTAAGTTAAGGCTTAATTTTGGAATAAATCTGGGGAAAATTACATTATTATGATTTATTACAAAAATGGATACTTCTTAAAATTATAATAAACACCGAATCATGACTCTAGATCAACAAGGAGGTCTTTTTTGTTATTAATACATGCAAAAGCTTAAGTATATATAGGAAGTTTTTAGAATAAATTATATATATAGTATATAGTGCAATGACTTGTTCTGATCTATCACATATTTATTAGTTCTAGATTCCTGAATAAAAAACTGATTGAGAAATATTAGCATATAAATACCATTACATACTCTTCTCAATATATCTGATATATTAGATATTGATATATAAGTATATTGTACTTAATGTGCTTTTACTTTAATACAAATTTTATAATAATTGGAATATTAAATATAGTAATATATAGTAATATATAGTAATTAGTAATTAATATAGTATTAAATTAAATGATTATATAATATAGTGATTAGAAAATTATATAATTTTATATAACTTAGAATGATACAAAAAATTAGAGTTAATTAGATAGTTATCATATAGTACAATTAATTTTCTTTATAAGCATCTCCTATATAAAACTCCTCTTTTTAAGGTTTATATATATATATTTTTTTTTTATGTTTTAGGAGACATCAGCACAACCGGCTCACCAAAGCTACGTGAAGGGAGCATTACAACACCAGTTGCAGTAATATACTCCTACCGTTGAGTAACAGATAACCAAGTAATCTACTCTAATTATTAGAAGTAACCAGATGTTCATCCCCCTACCCCTTATATACCACACTGGGAAGACGACTCAAGTTTATACCCACACAAGGATGGATCGTAGTGTAGCAGGGTTTCTAACACAGTTATGCTACCCACTAGCGCCTGTCAGAAGTGAGCAACCACCCACGTACGGCAGATATAATGGAGCAGACATCTAGAAGTCCTTCCATGATGGTTAACTTAGAGGTACTGCAATATTAAGACTACTAATATGGTCTCATTCAAAGCCTACTACAGGCCGTGATTACCATACCAGCCCACCATAGTTGTAAATCCCCAGTAGTATAGCAGTGACTACCAGGACAGTAAGCTACTAAGGGTACTGAAATCACCCCTTTATTATAAGTACTTTATAGAAACCTTGAATTTTTAAACAATACCGAATTGATATAATAATGATGTCAAATAAATATCGTGGCGATATCGATTTGCAAATGATATCATTATGATATCGCAATGATATCATTTCAATATTAATTCAATATATCGAAATGATATTGTAAAGATATTTGTTTGAAAAAATATCAGATCGATATCATTTCGATATTGTTATAACAACAATGAATTTTTTGAAAAATGGGAAGTAAATACGATATTAATATGATATCGTTCCAACATTAATTCAATATCAATATGATAT